TAGTGGATCAGTAACTTCTTGTTGTGTAACAAAAATATTAAAGGGAACTTCCTTGACCGGGAATCCAACCAGGGCAATGGTGGTGAAAGCACCGAATCCTAACCACTAGACCATCAGGGACACACAATCATGAATATTTTTTCGGCCATCATTTTTTTTGCCATTTTTAAATGCTAACACTTTTATTCATATTTCCTGCCAATTTCCAGTATTGTCTTTTTGATTATCTAGAAGAGCAAAACTCAAATTATATTACTTTTAGAAAACTCTATAATATTAAAGTTTTCTGAACTTCCAGCATTGACCTTGATGTGACTAAAAGTTTTCTGAACTCCCAGCAATGACCTTGATGTGACTTGAACACACAACCTTCTGATCTGGAGTCAGACGAGCTACCGTTGCGCCACAAGGTCTTATTATGATAATTTATTGAAGAAGGCTCATAACGATCCAGAAAAAAATCTGAATCTATTGGATCAGTATCATGTTGTCCTGTATAAAAAATATTAAAAGTCACTTCCCTGACCGGGAATCGAACCCGGGCCGCGGTGGTGAGAGCGCCGAATGCTGACCACTAGACCATCAGGGACACACAATAATCAATATTTTTTTGGCCATCATTTTTTTTTGCCATTTTTAAATGCTATCACTTTTAATCATATTTCCTGCCAATTTCCAATAATGTCTTTTTGAGTATCTAGAAGAGCAAAACTCAAATTATATTACTTTTAGAAAACTCTATAGTATTAAAGTTTTCTGCACTCCCAGCATTGACCTTGATGTGACTTGAACACACAACCTTTTGATCTGGTGTCAGACATGCTACCGTTGCACCACAAGGTCTTATGTTAGGATTTCTGGAAGAAGGCTCATAACGATCCAGAAACAAATCTGAATCTAGTAGATCAGTATCATGTTGTCCTGTATAAAAAATATTAAAAGTCACTTCCCTGACTGGGAATCGAACCCGTGCTGCGGCGGTGAGAGCGCCGAATCCTGACCACTAGACCATCAGGGACACACGACCTCATTGTTTTTTCGCCATTTTTTAGTCATTTTTAAATGCTATCACTTTTAATCATATTGATTTGGACACACAACCTTCTGATCTGGAATCAGATGCGCTACCGTTGCACCACAAGGTCTTATATGTGGGTTTCTGGAAGAAGGCTCATAATGATCCAGAAAAAAAATCAGAATCTAGTGGATCAGTAACTTTTGTCGTGTAACAATAATATTAAAGGGAACTTCCTTGACCGGGAATCCAACCAGGGCAATGGTGGTGAAAGCACCGAATCCTAACCACTAGACCATCAGGGACACACAATCATGAATATTTTTTCGGCCATCGTTTTTTTTTGCCATTTTTAAATGCTATCACTTTTAATCATATTTCCTGCCAATTTCCAGTAATGTCTTTTTGATTTTCTAAAAGAGCAAAACTCAATTTATATTACTTTTAGAAAACTTTATAGTATTAAAGTTTTCTGCACTCCCAGCCTTGACCTTGATGTGACTTGAACACACAACCTTCTGATCTGGAGTCAGACGCGCTACCGTTATGCCACAAGGTCTTATTATGATATTTTATTAAAGAAGGCTCATAACGATCCAGAAAAAAATCAGAATCTATTGGATCAGTATCATGTTGTCCTGTATAAAAAATATTAAAAGTCACTTCCCTGACCGGGAATCGAACCCGGGCCGCGGCGGTGAGAGCGCCGAATCCTGACCACTAGACCATCAGGGACACACAACCTCATTGTTTTTTGGCCATTTTTTGGTCATTTTTAAATGCTATCACTTTTAATCATATTGATTTGGAAACACAACCTTCTGATCTGGAATCAGATGCACTACCGTTGCACCACAAGGTCTTATATGAGGATTTCTGGAAGAAGGCTCATAATGATCCAGAAAAAATCAGAATCTAGTGGATCAATAACTTCTTGTGGTGTATCAAAAATATTAAAGCGGACTTCCCTGACCGGGAATCGTACCCGGGACACGTCGGTGAAAGCGCCAAATCCTGCCCACTAGACCATCAGGGACACACAATCATCAATATTTTTTTGGCCATTATTTTTTTTTTTGCCATTTTAAAATGCTATCACTTTTAATCATATTTCCTGCCAATTTCCAGTAATGTCTTTTTGATTATCTAGAAGAGCAAAACTCAAATTATATTACTTTTAGAAAACTCTATAGTATTAAAGTTTTCTGCACTCCCAGCATTGATCTTGATGTGACTAAAAGTTTTCTGAACTCCCAGCAATGACCTTGATGTGACTTGAACACACAACCTTCTGATCTGGAGTCAGACGAGCTACCGTTGCGCCACAAGGTCTTATTATGATATTTTATTGAAGAAGGCTCATAACGATCCAGAAAAAATCTGAATCTATTGGATCAGTATCATGTTGTCCTGTATAAAAAATATTAAAAGTCACTTCCCTGACCGGGAATCGAAACCGGGCCGCGGCAGTGAGAGCCCCGAATCCTGACCACTAGACCATCAAGGACACACAACCTCAATGTATTTTGGCCATTTTTTGTCATTTTTAAATGCTATCACTTTTAATCATATTGATTTGGACACACAACCTTCTGATCTGGAGTCAGATGCGCAACCGTTGCGCCACAAGGTCTTATTATGATATTTTATTGAAGAAGGCCCATAACAATTCAGAAACAAATCTGAATCTATTGGATCAGTATCATGTTGTCCTGTATAAAAAATATTAAAAGTCACTTCCCTGACCGGGAATCGAACCCGGCCCGCGACGGTGAGAGCGCCGAATCCTGACCACTAGACCATCAGGGACACACAACCTCATTGTTTTTTGGCCATCATTTTTTTTGCCATTTTTAAATGCTATCACTTTTAATCATATTTCCTGCCAATTTCCAATAATGTCTTTTTGATTATCTAGAAGAGCAAAACTCAAATTATATTACTTTTAGAAAACTCTATAGTATTAAAGTTTTCTGCACTCCCAGCATTGACCTTGATGTGACTTGAACACACAACCTTCTGATCTGGAGTCAGACGCGCAACCGTTGCGCCACAAGGTCTTATTATGATACTTTAGTGAAGAAGGCTCATAGCGATTCAGAAACAAATCTGAATCAATTGGATCAGTATCATGTTGTCCTGTATAAAAAATATTAAAAGTCACTTCCCTGACCGGGAATCGAACCCGGGCCGCGGCGGTGAGAGCGCCGAATCCTGACCACTAGACCATCAGGGACACACAACCTCATTGTTTTTTGGCCATTTTTTTGTCATTTTTAAATGCTATCACTTTTAATCATATTGATTTGGAAACACAACCTTCTGATCTGGAATCAGATGCACTACCGTTGCACCACAGGGTCTTATATGAGGATTTCTGGAAGAAGGCTCATAACGATCCAGAAAAAATCAGAATCTAGTGGATCAATAACTTCTTGTCGTGTATGAAAAAAATATTAACGGGGACTTTCCTGACCGGGAATCGAACCCGGGTCACGGCAGTGAAAGCGCCGAATCCTGGCCACTAGACCATCAGGGACACACAATCATCAATATTTTTTTGGCCATCATTTTTTTTGCCATTTTTAAATGCTATCACTTTTAATCATATTTCCAGCGAATTTTCAGTAATGTCTTTTTAAATATCTAGAAGAGCAAAACTCAAATCATATTACTTTTAGAAAACTTTTTAATATTAAAGTTTTCTGAACTCCCAGCATTGACCTTGATGTGACTAAAAGTTTTCTGAACTCCCAGCAATGACCTTGATGTGACTTGAACACATAACCTTCTAATGTGGAGTCAGACGCACTACCGTTGCGCCACAAGGTCTTATTATGATATTTTATTGAAGAAGGCTCATAACGATCCAGAAAAAAATCTGAACCTATTGGATCAGTATCATGTTGTCCTGTACAAAAAATATTAAAAGTCACTTCCTTGATCGGGAATCGAACCCAGGCCGCGGCGGTGAGAGCACCGAATCCTGACAACTAGACCATCAGGGACACACGACCTCATTGTTTTTTGGCCATTTTTTAGTCATTTTTAAATGCTATAAACTTTTAATCATATTGATTTGGACACACAACCTTCTGATCTGGAATCAGATGCGCTACCGTTGCACCACAAGGTCTTATATGTGGATTTCAAGGAAGAAGGCTGATAATGATCCAGAAAAAAAATCAGAATCTAGTGGATCAGTAACTTCTTGTCGTGTAACACAAATATTAAAGGGAACTTCCTTGACCGGGAATCCAACCAGGGCAATGGTGGTGAAAGCACCGAATCCTAACCACTAGACCATCAGGGACACACAATCATGAATATTTTTTCGGCCATCATTTTTTTTTGCCATTTTTAAATGCTAACACTTTTATTCATATTTCCTGCCAATTTCCAGCAATGTCTTTTTGATTATCTAGAAGAGCAAAACTCAAATTATATTACTTTTAGAAAACTCTATAATATTAAAGTTTTCTGCACTCCCAGCATTGACCTTGATGTGACTTGAACAGACAACCTTCTGATCTGGAGTCAGACGCGCAACCGTTGCGCCACAAGGTCTTATTATGATATTTTATTGAAGAAGGCTCATAGCGATTCTGAAACAAATCTGAATCTATTGGATCAGTATCATGTTGTCCTGTATAAAAAATATTAAAAGTCACTTCCCTGACCGGGAACCGAACCCGGGCCGTGGCGGTGAGAGCGCCGAATCCTGACCACTAGACCATCAGGGACACACGACCTCATTGTTTTTTGGCCATTTTTTTGTCATTTTTAAATGCTATCACTTTTAATCATATTGATTTGGACACACAACCTTCTGATCTGGAATCAGATGTTCTACCGTTGCACCACAAGGTCTTATATGTGGATTTCTGGAAGAAGGCTCATAATGATCCAGAAAAAAAATCAGAATCTAGTGGATCAGTAACTTCTTGTTGTGTGACAAAAATATTAAAGGGAACTTCCTTGACCGGGAATCCAACCAGAGCAATGGTGGTGAAAGCACAGAATCCTAACCACTAGACCATCAGGGACACA